GTACTGGGAATGGGATTGGATGCAGTGGGGCTGGTATTGCATGGATGCATTGGGACTGTGATGTTCAAATACAGGAACAGTAGAAACTGGGAATGGGGTTGAAAACTTAAAAAAGCTGATRAGATGATGCGATCAGGACCSTTCGKTACCATTTCATGTTAGGGTACTTATATTSACCATATTGGTGCACCCTCGGYATGTGTTCCTACCACCACGATGTCCTCGCTGTTATGCGTTCATAGTACCATCTGCGTGCAAACTCTGTGATGTWAAAMGTCGTTTTYCAAATGTCATGAGTTTTGTAGATATAATCATAAGCTCATCCTTAGTTTAATTCATAATTTTTGTGATTTATATTCCAATAGGATTCAAGCATGTAGGCTGTTTTAAGGACGATCGCGATCGTGCATTGCCTATTAACTTGAATGCAGGAACCAGACCTTACAGTGTATGTAGCTGCGCAAATAAGGTCCATTCTGAAGGCTACTTAGAGATGTTTGCTGTCCAAAACAACGGCAACGAATGCAGGACTGGTACATCTGCCCGTATCACCTACAATAAGCATGGACTAGCAACTAACTGTAAGAATGGACTTGGAGGAGGCTGGTCAAATGAAGTTTATGAGTTTATAGGTATTAGTTTGTAGTTCTATAGTGTAGAGTTTAGATGGTAATTTATATTTTTGTATAGGCKTGTATAGGCCAACCCATTCATCTTCATTTCAAAGCTGTCATCCCGGGGGGACTGTTATCCTGGGGGGACTTCCCTATAAAGCATGGTAGGTATGCTCGACGGACTGATTGAAAAATGACCCTAAAAGGTACGCATAAATTAGTTCAGGTATCGATTCCAGACCCTAAAAGGTACAAGCATATTTTTGACGTCTTTCATAAGAGAAAAGCCCAAGTTTAAGAAAATCGATAGATTTTTTAGGTAAAYAAAATCTATTTCTTTATTAAAACTTCTTCAATTTTTTCCCGTTGTTCGAAAATTGACCGAAAAAGGTTCCGAGGGTTATATATTCGACCCTAAAAGGCCCGTCGAGCATACCTAACATGCTTTATAGGGAAGCCCCTATAAAGGGCTATTATCATGACGCGCTTGTTGTGAACACGATATATGTCTAATACGTTTGCACTCCATATAAATGTTCTTTTTAGGCATTCCTTAATGAAAAGATGTACAAAACTCAGAAAAAGACGGGATATGATCTGAAACAGCCCTGGAATAATCTAGCCAAACACGTGTCTCTCAATGATCATAGGAGGACGAAACCAACCGCGATAAAAGCTGAAGTATGAGAACAAAACACGATGAAACGTTCTAGAATTACGTTAATATAATTTTGATTATCACTTAAAAGTAATTATAAATAAAATATATACTTAGAAATAAGTTTTTAGCCATTTAGTTCGTATTACATTTGTATATATAAGACCCTTATAATGAATAAAAAAACTTGTGAAAACCTKTTTTTTACTTTGCCGACAGATATTTGTGCATCATGATTTTCAAAACAAAATAAACAWTTAGTAGTAACATAATTTCGTGTGTAATCGTGAATCATGACTTTAAAGTATCCCTTGGCCGCCATATTGAAAATCAACGAACCGAACSTTGACGTCAAAAGTCGGATCACACGATGCGATTGTCGTGTGCGACTTGTATAGTATACGACTCAAAAAAGCTCCACGTCGTGCCATAGCAATGCCCCTGCGGCTTGCCTTTGACTATACACACGACTTGTACGTAGAATTAATTTTAAACCAATGATCAAAGTACTATGACTATGTTCTAGTTGAATCGTATACGACACTCGTTCAATTCATGMCTTGCAAATCGGCCTTGGCCTAAATTAATGACTCCATCAAGACTTACAAATTATCAATTAGGACAATTAGGTAGGCGTAGCCAAATGATAAAATGCTGGATCGTTCAACAATGGCCGATTCTCGAGCGAAAATGCATTTTAATGCATAAAAAAACGTCCAGTGTCGCTCATTATCTCTTTTCGCGCCCCGTCACAAGTTTGTGTTACCAACAAAATTATTTTGACCGTGTAAACAAATCAGAAAATTTCGTAGGATTTGCTTGCCTTTACTGTTTAATAATTTAAGAACCCTTATTAACTTGCTGAGCTTTCAATATGTCTGTACTATATCACCACTGGCAACCGCAAGCCTAAAAGTTCGTATAGCTAAACTGACAAATCAGAAGCAAGCACTTTTGTAAACCAAAAAAACAAAACAAAACAAAACAAACAAAACAAAACAAAACAAAAACAGAACAAAATGAAAAAATGAAACAGGGAGGATCAAAAAGCACGACTACGACTTCCGTGCCGTKACCATGCTGAATTCATCTTTTTTCAAATTCACCATGCGCCGAGAGGTTTTTTTCATTACGTATGTTATATTTTTTTAATTAAAAATAGCAGTATCTATTATTTATTAACTTTGTACCGAATTAGCATTTGAAGTTCCTTTAGACTGAAGCCAGTGCTAACAGACAGGAAAACAGCAAAACCCCTGTGAGAACATCTGCCATGGAATTAGACGACTTATTTCGCTTGTTAAGCGTCGCGTTTGTTCTAGCAGAGGGTAAGATACGAATAATTTCTTTTTTTTTCCTCTAAATTCCTCGAGTTTTTTTCGTTCTTTTACGTTCTTTTCTATTTCTGAACCGGAGTATCAATATTTGAGTACAAAAAATTCACATCATGAGCCTATAATTGAATATAATTCATTTTATTGCAAGAAAGATTGCGATAGTTTTATATTTCAATAGTACTTTTTGACTTTGTTCAGAGATGGTCTACTTTTTGATAAAAATTCCCAAAATTGAMGATATTGGAATATAAATTTGGAATTCAGGGAATAACTAATATAGATCCGTGATACCCTAAACTACCTGCTATAACAATATGTTATCCGTACATTGTCAGACTATGTATTCATTAGTAATAATGACTATGAACAAGCTCTTCTTAGTTTGGAGTGACGATACAATGCTAGTTTGAGGTCTTCCTTGTTTTATTTTATCGTTTACGAAGGATAAGTTTATGAATCTACGAGTATCCTATCCTAAGAATGTAGGAATGTGGAAAAATAGGAATAAACCCTTTTAGCGATCCCTTTTWYGCTGTGTTAGCCTCAAAACCATGTAATAAATTCGATTATACACTAACAGCCCGTGCAAATGCAAGAGATMCGTGAGTGTAGAAGACAATGAAAATAGTTTGAAATCTCACGAGTTTTATTTAAATTTCTAAATATTTTGCACACAATTGAGTCTAACACAGCATAAAAGAGATCGCGAAACTCAACTATTGTAGGAAATCGGCACTACAGTCGTAGGCCAAAATGGTACGGTCTATCTTATTGTCAACACGCACTCGAACGCCTTTTTCGCATTCAATCTTATAATTATCGTACTCAATTGCCATTGATACACCTTTCGGTCGCAGCGTCTTTGTTCTGTAGTGATTTGAAGTTAACAATGTAAGCAGGGGTGTAAATTTTTCAAAAAAAAAACCACTCAATTTCTTTCTACTTTCCTTCTTTCAGCTAAGAATGGTTGTAAGGAGTTCAACTATCTCCCCTGCATCAAAAATAAAACCCTGACAGGTCACGTGATCAAGTCCCTCGGAGTCTTAGTTCCCGGATTAGAATTATGCCAAAACAAATGTTTCTCTGAACGCCAGTGCGTGTCGTACAACTTGGGTCCAGTAGACGGTCAGACCAGGACGTGTGAGCTGAGTGCTGCTGATGACTGGATGCGACCCAACTTCTTGGTTTCAAAAGAAGGCTTCGAGTACTGTCCGATCAAGGTTAGCACTTCACAAACCAACATCTCCRGAAACCGTTATTGCTTTATGGAATTTTTAAGTTTCGTTGTTTCTTATATAGAATCCTTGTTCGTCAAATCCTTGTCCTTCAAATAGACTCTGTACACCTGATTTCAGTTGGGATACGTTCAGCTGTGATGGTAAGTGCTGAAATTCAATATAGGGGGGAAGAAGGTACTCGGGAGAGAAAGAGGGGAACCTACATATAGCTCTCGCCGTACTTTTCATTTTAGCTCTCTTTGTCGCTATAATTCTCCTTCTATGTTTTACAATATGTCTTCTTTTGTAAACCAAATCCTTAAATCTACAGCCATTTAAACCCAACGCTTGGAGCCTTGTAGGAATACTTCACGAAACAAAGTGCCATCAATCAAATATTTTTATAGCAGCTRCAACATATGGGTTAACAAGCATTTTATCTGCATCTGTGTATCGTTATTGTTTCATTCATYTTCAGACGGCGGCTGGACACAGTGGGGTTYATGGAGTCCATGTTGTATAAATGGAAAGCAGAACAGAACTAGAAGCTGCTCAAATCCCCCTCGTCAAAACAATGGCGCGAGTTGTGTTGGAGAACACGTAGAGACCGCAAAAGAGTGCACAACCAAAAATGGTAGTAAAAACGAATGTATTACACAAATGAACCCGCGGGGGGTATACCATACTTTCATATGGTGTGTATGTGAGCGTGTGAAAGGGGGGGACTGTTCAGACTCTGGAAATGATATCTTGTTCTCGCCTTTAGTTTGAAATACACTGCTAGTGTACCCTAAATTTTTACGAAATCTTTGAAGTTTTGTTATTTATTAGTTAGGGACCGTTCCTTTTTTCGGGAGGGGGTTCTGGTGATTTTTGAAACTTTCTAAAATAAAAAACATGTATTACCCCCTTAGCTGGATACAATTTCTTCAAATGACCCCCCCCTCCCCCCCAATTGACCACGTCTTATTGACACAAGCCCCACTCTTTTGATTCTTAAGAAATATGTTGTATTTAATAAACAAGTAATATAACTCTGTTTAGGCCGTGGTGCTATCACCCTCTTTAAGTTTTATACACTTTTTTTGATCTATTTCCCACAGATTTCAAGAATATCGGCTGCTTTATCGACGATAATTTTGACCGTGCATTACCTAAAGCCCTAGACGCTGGAGACAAACCATACACCATTTGTAATTGTGGACGTAAGGCCCAAAGCAAAGGCTACAAAGTGTTCGCTGTCCAATCCTTTGGCTCTGATTGTTGGAGTGGCTCAACTGCTGATAAAACCTACAATARGCATGGATCTGCATCAAATTGCCCCCCAACTGGAATTGGCGGATTACGTACTAATGATGTATATAGAATTATAGGTACGTACATCTTATAATATTAAAATACAGAACGAAATATCTATACGAATGCATAAAGGAAAGTTTAGCATGGGATTAGGGAAGTGTGTGTGTGTGCAGGGAACGGGGGGGGGGAGTTTTCAAGGCGAGAAACTAGTTTTCATTTTATGTGGTACGCACCCTGTTTTATTGGACTTATTGGACATAAAAATGTACGAGGACTACAACTACCATCATCCTTTGCTGCTCAAAATGGCGTCGCTGCACATTGCCTATTTCTGTGGTTCGCACGCTTGACAATTATGATATTATTTTATTGCAGAAATCCCTTGATATTCAGAAGACACTTGAGCGGCCGTGATTCACTCCGTCATTGTTTCATTCGCACATTTTAACGTGGATGTACAATACAATGCAWAGATTTGCATAAATTTGAACAGTCCTCTTACAGGAGAATTAWGAAGTAGCAAGTCTTTTCATTACATTTGACATACAGTCAGTCCCATTAAATAACTTTGTTCAGTTTTAAAGACAAAATAACGCATTTGCTTATATCACATTTTATTACTTTTGCAAGAATATTCAATTTAAAGTTCCAAAACATCTTCACTATTCGCGATCGAAAACAACAGATTCCAAGTATATTGAATTTATATTGAATTTGTTCATTGTCATAGTGGAATATAACTGTTCAAAATGCAAAAATAATTTCAAAATTCTTTGCATTCACATGTTAAGTAGATATAAGTCATAGTGTTGTGAATTATATATAAAACTCACCTGTCTTTCCTAGAATGTAAGTTAAGTGAATAAAAAATCATGGCCGCTTCAGGTCCAGAACACGCGCACGCGCGGCCAACAATAAAAAGCGCGGGAATCTCGAATTTCTGAAAACTTCCGGTCAGTGCACGCACGCGCGGCAATCAATAAAAAGCGCGGGAATCTTGAATTTCTGAAAGCTTCCGGTCAGTGCACGGAGGCATTGTAATTTTCACCAACAAACTATTGTGTGGTCACTTTTAAGCATATATTTGCTATTAGCTATTGATCCTGGACAAAGTCAACAACATTCTCACGAGTTTACTATTAAAAATAATAATATGCGCCGTAGCTTATGAATGTAGCCACCGCAAGGGAACACTGGGACTTTTTTCGTTGACATAAAACGGTCTCTTGAAAGCTTCTCGTGTCAATATCCGCTAAAATGAGCAGAAAGATTTCAGAAGGATCTGAGTCAAGCTTGCAAAGCGATGAAGGTGGGATTATCAAGCGACTTGGAGAAATACCAGTGGTCAATTCTGCCTGGTCAATGGCGTCGTCATCCTACAGTAAGGTCAAAGATTCTAACGCAATGGCAAAGCTTGGTCTGTCTTTGGCAGAACTTTCCATCAAGACTGCGTTAAAAACGACGAAATTTGCCTATAACGTAATTCCTAAACCAGAAATTATAGAGAAAATGTCAGATGAGGTCGGGRAGACAGGTATAGTGTCTAGCGAAGACGATTTTAGGCTAGAATGAAACTGAAATGATTTGAGTCATTCACAGTTGGATATGAAATTTAAAATCTTGATCTTGGGGACAAATACCGTGAATTCTAGCACTATTGACAGAGTTCTTGGCGYGCAAGTTATGTCATCGCCGCACTGTTGGATGAAGATCACAAATCATTCCTCATTAGTTTCTCTTGTTCATTCATCCAACATGGCGGCGATAGCTTTGTTCTTTATTTCTCAGGGGATTCTTGGTCACGTGGTTGCACACCAAGTCACAGATAACGTAGCTGTGACGTCACATGAAATGAAGTTGTTATTGTTGTTTTTTGTTGCAGTTTCTCAAGTCGATGCTTTTGCCTGTCATGGTTTGGATGCTATACAGCAAGCATTCCCATACGTCATGACTGACACTGACAAGGTACGCATGCKCGTAGATAAAGCTATTGTCGTGCCCAGCWTGACTAAAAAGAGATGAATTACTCCGGTAATAGAATGGCACAAAATCGAGTCTAATGCGACCAAACATTCTTTTGTTAACAATAATGTTTTTATGATAATCTAGATTATTTCCAGTGGCACTGAAACACTAGAGAAATCCGAGGTTCTGGAAGCAGCTTTGATATTGAGTGAAGCTGCCATTGACTACATCCAACCAGTSAAGCCTTCCAAAATGGAGACACACATTAGAATACCATATCCAGTGTCCAATAAGAAAGTTGATAGGATGATTGACGTCTCACGAAGAACAGGGAGGTTGGTT